AAGTTTTGTATTTATGTATATAAAGGATAGCTAACATAGTTGAACTACTGTCTTCTATTTCTTTGCTGAAAGAAACAGTTAATGATTCCTTGATTGATCAATACTGCATGTCTCTATTTGTTTTCCTGAGAAATCATTTTGAAGATATCAATATGTAGTACAACAAGCATTGTTAATTTCCTACCACTTTGTTTGTATCTCTGTATTGTTTGTATTGTTCTTTTGTTATTTTGTAAATGGTTGTCTGTTTGTTAATATTTCCCTTCTTTTATTTTTAAAATAAAAAAATTAAAAATAAATAAATACATAAAAATGACCAGGCATAGAAAGGAGCAGAAAATTACCATGATTCAGAAAAAAATAAAAAGAGTGACAATGGCCCAAACTGACACATGGCAGAATTAATAAACAAGGACATTAAGAGAGTTATTAAAATGGTATTTCTAATGTTCAAGAAGGGGACAAATATTTTAGCATGTGAGCTGAGACATGAAAAATATCTTTTAAAAATCACAAATGAAAACTGAAAAGTCTGAGACGAAACATATATTACATCAGATTAAGAGCAGATCAGACATTGCAGAAGAAAACATCAGTAAACTTAAACTACAGCAGTAGAAACTTTCCAAAAATGAGAAAAACAAATAAATGAGAACCTGTGAGAGATACAGAATGAGAAGCCTGATATTTATGATAGTGGAGTCTCTAAAAAGGGAAGAACAACAAGTAATGTTTAAAGAATATTGACTGAAAACTTCTGAATTTGATGAAAATTATAAATTACACACACACACTGAAACACAGCAGGGCATGCTTTAGTTCAATTTCTTAAAACTAAATGTTAAAATCTAAAAAAAAATTAGAGGGAGGAAATAAACATATTTCAAAAAGAGAAACAAAGCTAAGCGAAGAGTTATGTTTTCATTTAGAAATAACACAAGATGAACACAAGAGGTTGATCTCTCTATGGTATCAAAGGGGGAAATTGTTGACATAGAATCTTTATCACCTTGGGATCAATCCCAGTATATATAAATAAATAAATATTTCCCAAACATATGAGAGCTAAAATAATTCATTATCAGAAGATATGCAGTACATGAAATATTAAAGGTAACACTTCAAGCAGAATAATGATAACAGATGTTAAGTCTTAACTACACAATGAAGAGTACTGAGAATAGCAACTGAGTTGATAATTATATGCATTCACTTATTACTTAAATTACAGTGGTACCTCAGCTCACAAACTGAGTTTGTTCTATGATTTTGGTAAGGATGGCCCCGTGTGTCTGTGTGGGAAAGATGGCCACTACTGTGTTTGTCACCCAGTGCAGAGTTTGCAAACAAAAGCAAAATTTTGCTCAATGCTTCTGTCTGTGAACCACGTTATGTGCAAACAAAAGAGTTCATGAACCAAGGTACACTGTGCTTAAAGGCCAATTGATTATTTAAAACAAAAATATTTGAAATCTATTATGGGCTTTACAAGATACATAAAAATAAATTTATGGTAAGATTGGCACAAAGGTCAGGAGAGGAGAAATGGAAGCATACTGTTATAAAGTCCACACATGGTTTATAAAGCAGAATATTACTTGCCAATAGACATGATAAATTGCTGTGTATTACAGTTAGACTGTAGCTGTATGTCCATGAGAGGAGTGATTTCATGGAGAAAGGCACCGAGCACAGAAAGTCAAGATGCAGCCAAGGTACACACTGAGGCACCTGTGATCCAGAGTCTGGCTGTAGCTATCTTCCTTTTCTATCCTTCCCTTCTACATCTGACCACCAAGCCCACTGGGAGCCAACCTGTAGAATGTCAGCATGGAGTGATACTGCAATGCCAAATATTCTTCTCATTTATCTTTTTTTCTCTTCTCTCAATATATTATAATGTGTAATATGATTGTGTAAATTACCATGTACACCTTATAATTTAAAGCTGATTACATGTTTACTTGACTATTCTACCCTATCTCTATAGCTTGAAGTATTCTCCCTTCAGGGAGGTGGGAGGACAAGAAAATCTGTTTTGTCATACAATATGTAAGGGAACCATGTCTTCCAAGTAGTTTCTTGAGGGTACATCTTTATGGCTTGACTGATTTCAATAGTCTAGATATCAAAACAGTGCTAGAAACTCTGGCAATGTTTTCCTTTGTTTTGTTTTTCAGTAATAAGTCTACTATGGTAATGTTAATAGGTCTGGACACAGCTAGAGGCTGCTGTTCTCCCCAGCAAGGTGACAATGTGTGGATTAGATCTGTGACTCATAGCCAGTCTCTGACCTCATCCTGGACAGGTGAGCTATTCTTTTGAAACAAAGACCTTTTCTTGGTGCTAAGACTAGCTAGCACATCCAGAAACAATGTCTCAAGGAGAAGCCTATATAGCTCACATAGGAATTCTGTGCCATTTCTCATGGACTGAAGAGGCATAAAACAACAGTGTTTACTACAAGGACAAGTATTTTCCTATCAATACACAGAACTGGCTAGAATGCTATGTCATGTGGTAGGTGGTAGACTGGCAGGTATAGAGTGCTGTGTACTCCTGTGTTATTGGATGAAGTATTCAAGAGAGCTCAGTTAAATCAGTTTATAATCCTTTTTAGATTTTCTATATCTTAATTGACTTTTTATGTGTTCTATTTACTATTGAAAGGAATATTGAAACTTCTCATTATAACTGAGTATGTTTAAATTTTTCTTTGCAGTTCTATCAGTTTTTGTTCTGTGCAACTGGAAGTTCTATTACTTAATGCATAAACATTCAGGAATTTTATGTCCTATTGGTGACTAGACTCCTTTATCATTATAAAATGACACTCAGTATCCCTAATAATACTCTCCTCTGAAAACTTTTTCAGGTATTAATGTGCCACAATGACTTTCTTTATGTTAGTGTTAACATACTCTATTTTTTCTATCATTTTCCTATAATAGTTACATCTTGATATTTAATATGTGTGGCTGGATTTAATTTTTCCATTTGTTTTCTGTTTGAATTGTCAATTTTTGTTCTCATTTTCTTCTTTCTTTGAGTTAATTAAATATTTTTATAATCCATTCTATTTGTATTATTGATTATTAGCAAGTTTATGTTCTTATTTTAATATTTATTCAGCCATCCAGTTAAATAGTTTAACTGATTAAATCTTTAAAAAAGAATTTACACAGTATAGAAATGTGTAGTTTTTACTTGTCAGTTATGACTTAATGAAGCGAGGTGAAAATAAATGGTAAAGAAAAAATGATCTTCAATCATGCTAATAAATGTTGAACTGAAACTGCGTCTCTATTTACAACTCTAGAATCCAGAACTAGAATCTACACTTTATTGAAAATGTCTTATCCCTATGTCTATTCATACAAAGACTTCAATGCTATTAAATTCCATATGGAACCCCAGTTTCCCCAGGTAGAGGAGAGTACTCAATGAGTATGACCGAGAGATGAGTGGACAGGATTGTGCAAGCACAAATTAATGAGTGAAAGGTCTACTATACATCCAGCACAGACTGTTGCATACACACTATTTGTGGAATCCTATGTGGTAATTATTATCCCCAAATTTACAGATGTATAAGTAAGATCCAGGTGACAAATTATCAAGTAACTTTTGCCAAGTAACATAAAAAGAAAAACAAAGAAGCCGCCAAAACCCAAATGTGTCTGACCCAAAAACAGTGATCAGGCTATAGCAAAAAAGACTGTGAGATTCAGGAAAGTTGTCAGAAGTGTTGAGTGGCCCCCAGAATCTAGCGTAGTATCCGGCTGGCACCAAGTAAGTGTTCAATGACTATTTGTTAAATAAATGAGTGATTCAGAAGACAAAGATGGACTCAAATACTGCCCATCTCATGAGGGAGCATTGTACTGATCCTAAGGATACTGAGTCACAGAGGTATTGCCTCATAAAATGCAGCCCCCCCACCTTGGAACCTCACACGAAGATTTAGGGAGATTCTTATCCCTTTTATTACTTTAGAAGGAAATTTCTGCATTTCCAGTTTAGTGAGCATATAATAAAGGCTTCTTTTTTTTGGTACCAGGACTCAAACTCAGGACCTCGCACTTGCCAGGCAGGCACTGTGCCACTGAGCTATCTCCCTGGCCTCTCCTTTTTATTTTTATTAACTCAAAGTTGGGATGGCTTTCACTAATAACAGCTTAGTGGAAATAAATTACAACTTTTCAAAAGTTAGGAAATAGCACTGGATACAAGCATTGACAGCATCCATAGCCACCTGCTGTTCCTGGCCTTACACCACTTGAAAGAGGATGGCTGTATGAAGTAGGATGAAACAATATAATGAATATTTCAATAAAAACTTTTAAAATGTATTACAGTAAAAACACATTGTCATTAAGTCCCCTCAAAATACTCCCTCTCGCTTTGTACACATGTATCCCATTATTCTGGTCACTTTCTGAAGCAGTTTTGAAAGTCTTCTTTCACATCTTTCCATGTCTGCCTCTATGTACTGAAGTAATTCAACATATTTATGGTAATTTCTGTCAAAAAGAAGCGTGGTGTGTCCTCATCAACCATATTCACCAGATCAGGCCCTACTCTTGACTCTTCTCCAAAGTTAAAATGATCATAAGATAAACATTTTGACTTGATTCCAGACACGGAGGTAGCCACGGCAGCACATCCACAGACCTCCCAGAAGAGGACTGCCATTGCTTCAGAGAGTGATGAGGAGGATGAGATAAGTGTATTTGAAGTGAGGTGGTTAATTTCAGTGGAATTAATGGTAAGGTGCCTTGTACTGTAATAAACATTCTTTTAAAAAAATTGAAACATTCACCGTATTTTGTGATCATAGCGTATACATGGAGCCCTGTACTCTGTATACATGGAGTACACATCTAAAGTGAGTAGGATTTAAATAGGATATAAGTCCTGTTCTCAAACCACTCTTAGACTGATTCTTGGAAGGTGATGTAAATTTGTTGTGGAGCAAGTCAACAATGGTGTTGCTCCAGTGCTGCCACAGTCTAGAATAGCATCTCTGACAGATCATAGGAATCTTTCGCACTTAAAGCAGAAGGAGAAGGAATATTCACCTGGTCCAAAACTGGCCATGCATTTCAGGCTTCCAACATCAGAGTGTGGGCACAAGTTAGGGATCAGGCACCAAGCGGGACCAATCAGGAGGTTGGGGCTGCCCTCTGTGGGGCATCTGTGTCCTCCTCAGACTGTGTCTCCATTCTCTAGATGGGCACAGGTTGTAATCCAACTTCACAGAAGACATCTGTTACTAAAGCTGCTGCCAACCAGGCTTTTAGTGCATAAATATGACCCACCTGTCCAATCAGTTGCTGCTCTTTGTCCTAGATTATAGCAAGACGACTCACCGCTACAAACAAGGTTCTTATTCATAAGAAACAGTAATCATCTCTTACATTTGAATTGTACTTTACAGCTTACAATGCATTTTCCTTTCCATTATCTTATAAGACAAGGCCAAACAGGCCTGGCAGCAGGGCAAATAAACAAAAACAAGAATTGCTGGAACAACAACAGAAAAAGCCACCTCATGCACAAATGCTGCAAGTGCAAGAAGAAAAGAACGTAGAAAACTAGAAATATAACCCATAACCATAGCCAAGGAGGAAAGAAACAAGTGGATCAAGAAGCTATAGAGCAAAGCAGCATACAAATTGGAGCAATCGATATGAATCATAAGAAAACCAAAGCTGCGGATCACAATCTAAACCACACAGGCTAGCTCTGAAACGACCTCTCACATCTCTGAATACAGGAAAAACAGGGCTTCTCTGAGCTATTGACACTAATCACCTGCAAAGAGTTGGCGAACACAGAGCCTCCCTTTTATTTAGTAGCAAAGTACTGTGAAGAGCAATCTTGAGCAGGGTGCTCATTTATGATTTTGTTTTCTATAAGTCTACTGCAAGTTTAACATGAACTATGTCTAACTCAGTACCACTACGCTCTTCTAGAATCAGGACGTTTGCTGAGGGTTAGCGTTCTCGCCTATGGTACACACAACTGGATGCATGTATTGCTGAACCTGGTCCAGCAAAGCACTCTGTAATTGTACATGGTGATTACTATTTGATTAAACAGAACAACTTGGGAGCTCTGAGATTTCTTGCTGGAATCAAGAGAGAAGGACCTAAATGCGTTATCTTTGTGGACTAGCAATATCTATCCTGGAATCTCTGAAAGCCACAATCTCACAAAAATGTTCATACTAAGATACTTCACAAATAAAACTCAAAAATCAAATTTGATTAGCTCAGTTTAAAATGGGAGACAAGGTAGGCTGTAAATTAATGAAAAGTCAAACTCATTGACTACCATGTAGGAAGTGGTTCTGTTATTCAAAATGTATTCAGTAAACTTAAGCAAGCTATCGCACCAGAGATAGCTGAGGGGTGTTGGTTGACACCCCTCAGCTGTAACAAGGAGATAATGGTGACCTGTACTGGATTTATCAATATTTGTCCACGTGATCTTTTAATAGTCTTAATAATAGTTGGCCCTCTGAAGTTGACTAAGCATTTTCTTTTTTTTTTGGTTTTTCTCCGGTACCGGGAACCGAACTGACAACCTTGCGCTTGCCAGGCAGGCGCTTTTGCCGCTGAGCTAAATCCCCAGCCCCGACTAAGCATTTTCTTACTAGTTTGAATGGCCTATATTTACATCTACATTTAACTTTTCTGAGACTTGCTTTCCTCATGTGTAAAAAGTTCACATCACAGGAACACTTAAGAATTAAATGAGATGATGCATGTAAAACAGCTGTCTTATACCTGGCACATGTTAGATACCAAGGAAATCGTCCCTTCTTTATGTTCCTTGAAAACTGTTCTCAGCAAAAAGTTGAATATCAGTTTAGTAAGCCACAGGACTAGATCATCGCAAATTACAAATCCATGGGATTCAAATGATTAAGTATGTATAGTTATCTATGCACTGGTACATTTCTTTTACCTTTTTTATGGGTACATATTTAGGGAGGGTTTCTTGTTTTGCATTCACTATGTTATGGTTTGTGCCTGGATGTCCCCCCAAAGCTTCATGCAGTCATGGGCCAGGCTTCTAGAGTTTACGATTGATGTGTTCCAAAACTGGGATTATGGGTGTGAGAGCTACACTCGCCCTGGGGCGGGTAGTTTACACACGGTGTAAGGGAGGGAAAGAGGCTGCTTGCCACCACTCCTCCTTTTTTGCTCTTGTTGCTTTTGCTGTCTTCCACAGCCATGAACTATTGTCCTCTGCCATGTGCCACACTGCCTTGGACCCAGCCAAGTATGGACTGAAACCTCCACAAACTGTGAGCTAAATAAACCTTTCCTTCCTGAATTCTGGATGTCAGGTATTTTAACTCAGCAGTGAGAGAAAAATAACCAAGACACACTGTAAAACTTTTTGCATTTTCTGTAAAGGCTCCCCATGATCAAGGATTTTACCCCCTATTTCCTTCATAATTCCCTTTGAAAATCTAGTGCACTTTAATCTTGGCCAGTACTCAGTTACTGCATTAGGTATTTTTACAGCTTATGCATATATATAGCTATATTCCATGTGACCTGCTTTGGACAATGAGCTATCCAAACTTACAAATATTTCTGATAATTGCACCCTACAATATTATGAATATTCTTCTGAATATTGTGACAACTTTAGATGGAGATAATTCTACTATTTTGTGTATTTCTTTTCCTTTTTGTATATGCATGTATACTTCATATATATACTGTTCCCTTTCATTTACTGCATGTATCTTAATCAGTTTGCTTGCCCAAGAATAAAGATTCAGTGTCATAGGAATAACCTAAATTACAGCTAGGCCCTTGTGAATGCTGAGGATGCAAAGTAGCTGCACAAATCTCCGATCTTCCAAGCAGTATCTACAAGCTTCAATCCACAGATTTGGAAACATTTACTTGGTTTGTTTTGTTTATTTGGCTTTTAGTTGTTGTAATGGTTAATTTTATGTTTCAGCTTGACTGGACCCTGGACTGCTACCACTTTTGGTCAAATACTATTTGGAGCATATTTGAGAAGGTGTTTCTGGATGAGATTAACATTTGAATCAATAGACTGAGGACAGCAAACTACCCTTCGTGTGTAAGTGGGCCTTATCCAATAAAGACCTAAAGAGAATAAAAAGGCAAAGTTGGAACTCCTCCTCCTGCCTGATTGCTTACACTGGACATTGATCCTTTCTTGCTTTTACACTCAACCTGAAAAATTGACTTTTCTTAGGTCAGAGCCTGGTGGCTGTCAGACTGGAACTCATACCAGCCACCAGCATGCATTTCCAGCTTGCCACCTACACATCTCCATAATCACATGGGTCATCTGTGAGGAGAGAGAGAGAGACAGAGAGAGATGGAGAAAAGAGGAGAGGAGAGGGATTCTGTTATGTTTCCCTGGGAAAACCCTAATACAGTACTCTACCCTAGACCTAGCAAAAGAGATTGCCCTAGGTATTGCACCTTAAAAAAAGCCTGCATATCATAAACAAAATAGAAATGCACTCATTCAAGAACACATGGGCTCCTCTGCCACTCAGGACCCACGACTCATTACTGCTACAGGACAACCAGTAACACTAAACATCTGCTCTCATGATCAACACTGTTCAGGCCCCAGGAAAAGTCTTCTCCACATTTCTCCTGTAGTCTCAAAACAAAAAGCAGCTGTGTTTGAATACCATGAACACTTGTGGGCTGTCCTGCTGCTGACATGTTCTTGACACTATTTCAGAATGCATAGAAATCGAGCATTAGAACTGCTTAGCAAAAAGGATGAGCATATGAGCGATCTCTTCAAAGCCTTCCTCTTACATAGCTTGAATTCAGTGTATTCTTGCATAACTTTGCTTTCACAGAAGAGCTGAGCATTCTTTTCATGCTTTCCTTTGTGTCCCAGTTCATGACTTCAGAGACCCTCACAAATAAATACTGTATTTACAGCAGTTGCATAAGATGACTGGGGAATATTTTTGCAATATTCACCAATTCATATTACTTTTAAATTAATGTATATATAAATCTAGGTTTAACATTCATAAAACATGATAGTAAATATTTAACATAGCAAGTAGATGGACACAAATGCTAAATTTGACAATAATTTCATATTCTGAAAAATAAGATTGGATTATACTTTCACAAATTAAATCTATGTCAGTTTTATTTAAGTAAGTTCAATTTAAAAATTAACATCATTAATTATGGTTTATATTTTACCCTTTACTATAATAAATACTTAAAACATTTTAGAGGAAAAACAACTTTTTAAGGATCAAACATAACTGTATCTACATTTTTTTTTTTTTTTGCCTTTTTGAGGCAGGGTCTCACTATGCAGTTCAGGCTGGCCTTGAACTCACTTTGGCCCAGGCAGGCAATCATTCTGCCTCAGCCTCCCAAGTGCTGGGATTACAGGTGTGTGCCACCACAACCAGCTTTGTATCCACATTTTTATAAAAGTGTATTTATTGGTATACTTTTGTTGTAGTTATCTTTTGTTCCTTGGATAATTATTGTCCTTGGATAATTATTGTGTGAAAATTTTGATCACCATCATTAGGGATTTTTTTGAAATAAGAAAATAAAGCGCATATATGCCTTCATTTTATTATTCAGCCAAATATCATCAGCCATAAAAATGACTCAAATATGCTCAGTAACAATTAAATTCTGTCATCTTTGATTTTCTGCCAACTTTCACTAATATAAAAAAGAATAGCTTTAAACATATTTGTCGAT